ACCCACTGTGGCTTTATGGTGATCCTGGCGATAGCTACATCCAGACATGTCCTCAGTGTCATTTCTGTCTCTGTTATTCTAATGATAAACTCTATATCAGCAATTTTACAGCTCAGCAGTGGTCCACGTCTCACTCTTCACCACAGACATCCATCATTATCCTATTAGGTTCTCTCAAAGCCCCATTATCTCCACCACCTTCAAACACATTAAAGTACTGTTATTTTTTGAAGACTTGCTCTAATTTTCATTGTAACTAAACCCGCTTTGTTCCAGGATTAGACTCTTGCAGAAAAACTAATATTGCTAGATCACTGTCACCGTGGTTACCATGAAGACAGTCACACTTGGCTGGTGATTAGATAGAGTCTGTGTTATCATACGCTACATCCATGACTCCCAAAGCATGTGAGATATTAATGATAACTCTTCCACCATATCGTTTACAGAGTGCAACATCAAAGAAGAGTAACAAAAATAGAAGAAAAACACGCATGTCAAACGTTATCAAATTTGGATAATTTTACCAGACACATTTTTAGGCAGTCTTTATACTACATCCCAAAAATGTGCCAATAAATATATATGTAATATGTAAAACTCTATTTAAACAATGGCAGGTCAATGGGGTCAAGATCTCACATCACCAGCCAGACTCCAGGCCAGCCAAGTCTCTGTGAGGGTCAAGGCCAGTGCCCCTCTAAGCCCTGTGTCAGGGGTTTAGTCTGGGCCACCGAAAAGACAGAGTGCAAACAACCTGCACCAAATCTGTTTTAATCCATCACTTTTTGAACGAGGATAGAATCAGTCAAGAGGAATCATCAGATCATTGCCATCTAAATCACTATTGCCTATCAGGTGGTAAGCTGCAAAGGGCCATTCTCTGTGTTTATTGCATATAGGGGAAACCTGTTGAAAAGACAACTATATTGGCATGTGAACAGCTGCAAAAACCTGCTTGATGTAGTGTTTCTCCTCTAACTTATTATTCTTTACATCCATTTGCAGGGACAGTGCATAAAGCAAGTCCGTCAATACTGGTCCATTTGTGAGGCCCGTATATTGACATTGCCCAATACCATTATGCCTCGCAATGTAAAACAGTGAGGTCAGGCAAAGTTAGAGCAAGTTAGTGAGCTTTTTCTCTTGCTAATTGACACACTTCAGCTGCTCAAACTTTGAACAGAATCCCTACATGGGCCAGCAGAAAGCAGGCAGATGCCATCAGCACTCACAATCCCCTTCCTTTGAAACCCAAGCCCCCCCATGTAACCCACAGCCCCGGCACGAGTGAGAGGAGCCGTCTGCTGGGCAAGAGACACCCACCAGCCTCTTTTGTCTCAGCACCAGTCTGTAGCCTGCATATTTAAAGAGGATGTTGGCCTGTTATTTACTGTTATGTTTGTTGTAGATCAATATTGATCGAAAATGGCTTAATAAATGAAATGAAACCAATAAGTTCTTGCTCAAAACTGCAAAGAACTGAGAGGCTTAGCAAGCAGCAGATTTTAATTTACATATTTTTGATAGAAGACATTTTATAACCCTACATGCAAACTCACAATTTTCAATCACTACAAGATACAGAGATATAAATAGACATGGGGGGTAGGTGTAAACTACCACCTCAAGCTTCAAATGCACAGCAATACAGCACACTCAGACATGCATCAAAATTAGTGCTGTCAGTAAATTTTTATATAAAATGGACCCACCCCATTATGTGAAAATTGCAATAATCTCCTCTCTATTGCAAAGAATTTTTGCACACAATATATTTTGAGCCCCAAAATATATTGTTCTAGCTTTCATATATTGAACAATAAGTCAATATAGTATTTAATAAGTCAGGCCTCTCCATGGGCGCATAATCCACGTGGTCTTATATTCTTATATACTTGTTCTGATACAGGTCAAGATCATCCTAAGGCTATTCAGGAGAAGTAAATTTCTGTCCTGTGACTTTTTTCACAGTCTAGTTGCAATATGAGTTTTAGTATCAGTTACTATCTGATTTGTGATACTTTTGACACCCTTATCAAAATATATCTTTGAGTAAGCTAACAAAGAGGGAGAGCAAGGTTAAAAGCACAGTGAGGTATATTCCGCATGTCTCCTTTAATGTACATGGCAGACAATTAGCTGTGGGAGCTGTTATCATGCTAGGAGACAGAATTGTCCCAGATTTTGCCTGGTCCAAGTGAAGGAGATATTGTTTGTCTAAAGCTAATCCTCAGTACCATAGACAGAGCTGGGGTTGGCACTCCTCCAACTCCCCACAGTGCATGTCTGCCAGTGCATGAAGTGGATCTGGGGCTGGATCTGTGGAAATGTGAAAGGCTATGGCCGGTATGTTGTAATTTATCCATGGTTTATACTACTTGCCAGACCATACAATATGCAACAATTTATCTGAAAATATATGTTCATACTTCATACTGATTAACTACAGGTGAAATAAGTGTGATATAGGTTAAGCTACTGAGTATCAGCTTGCCCAACCATAATTGTCTCAATTAATCCAAGTTTGGGACCAATGAACAAGTGGGATTTGGTAGGCTGAAATATTTCTTGTTTTGGTCCAGTTGGTCTGTTTCTGCTGCCCACAAAAGCTTGAGTCTTACCATTCCTCTATTTTAAGTGGATCGGCAATCTATTTTCTCATTTGTATAGAGATATACATTTTTCCAGCACACACTATGCTCCCTGACTCCATACCCTGGTGACCCTGTCTGTGACCCCAGGTGAGGCACTGTCATCGGGCTCATGACCAGGGTACTTAACCTTACACTGGCTAACTTATATTCCAGGTGTGGAGCTAGATGTAGTGTGTCCGTCATGGTGCTAAGAGTTTCCTCTGAAACATGGCATTGAGTGTCCACTGTCTGAGGCAGGATGTCCTGTTAAAGTGGGGCAGGGGAAGGGGTAAAGGGGCCCTTGGTTTATGTTCATTATCAGGGTTGTTTGTGACCCTCTTGTCAACACTAGTCCTAACTGGATGCTCCCCTCTTTCCATTAGAAAATATCTAATCCAGTGAATGAATGCAATCAAAGTCATCCTGTTATAAGTTGTATAATGTGTAGTAATGTGTAATAACACAGTTGACAGCTGACTGAAAAAGCTAATATATATTCTATACATAAGGATTTCATGAAAAGACAAATGTAGTATTTAAAGAAACTCAAATGAAACATATTTAAATAGGCTACTATCCACATTTGTGTCATTATTTCAACTGGAATGATGACAATAAGTAATTTTAGTTTTCATGAACTGTAAAGGATTGTAAATGTTTTTAGCACAAATCCAGAGTTTGCCCACTGATCAGAAGGTTGGCTGTTCAAATCCCACTCTTGACATAAAAAAACATCACTGGCTGAGTAGTCAGATCCATTGACTCACAGTTTGGTGGTGCAATTCCAAATCCCATAGATGAATGCTGTCATTGTGTCCATGGGCAAGACACTTGACCCACCTCGCTTTAGTGTCTGCGTACACTGATGTGTGAATGGGTGAGTGCTTCCTTGATTTAAAGCACTTTGAGTGCCTTGAGGGTGAAATAGCGCTGTATAAAAATATAACCATTTACCGCTGAGATGCATATTGGCTTTGTTTGCACAGATACTGTATAGTCTATGGTTTTGTCCACCTTTCAAATGTTTGGGCACATAACTAATGTGGAGAGATGATGACTATGGCCTCAATAGTTTCGAGTCAGATTTATGCTTATGTGTAGACATTCCCCAAGAGGCCAGATCATCCAGGTTGAATTTCTGTCCAGGATATCCCATGATTCTCCTTGACAGCTGAAGCGGCAACCTTCTGACACTGACAGGAATTTATGCTGCACTTCAGGATGCACAGTAGTGCGATCGGGAGAATGCACAATCTGTGCGCAACAGGGAGACCTCTCATCTATCTTCACAATGTGCAGTTTTCACTCCTGCTCAGTCAATAGATGCTCTGCTTATATAGTATGTCCATGTCCATGTATGATCATTTAGGGTGACAATTCATCCAACACATTTATCCTTGTCTTATGGTTCATTCATAAACATGTCTACAATCAGATGTTGCATTTGAATAAAACTGCAAAAGAAGCTATTGTCAAACCTCATCCTAAGAACTACATTTGTTTATTCTCCGCCAGTCTTTGGGCTTTTTTGTGTTGGCATAATCCAATACAGATCATAGAGAAAATATTTAATTTTATTCGTCACAAATTCTTTTCAGGACAAATGTCACAAGGAGATATGATCTTTTCATTTATTGTTTTAGACAGTCTGACTCTATGGAATTGCTCTCTTCCACAACAGTGTAACAGTACCTATCCTATACTGCAGTGAGGGAGGAGGAGTGGGCACTTGTGGAGTAAAAGGTCACTTTCTCAAGGTCCTTCTAAATTTAACTTTTTTACATACATGTTGTATTTATGAGTTTAGAATGAGTTCTGTATCAGTTTCACAGAAAGGTTGTTTCAAAACACAAACTCCTCTAGAAATCCCACCAAATGGTTCTTCCAGTGACCAGTGGTGAATTTTTGGTTGACAAATCAAATGAAAGAAACCACCCTATATCATAAGCCCATCATATGCCTCAAAATGTTATAGCAAATAAATGCATAGAGGCTACTAATATAACGATCAATCATAATATTAACAATAAGCATAGTAATAAATTGTATCCCTAAATGCTTAGGTAAATAGTTCACTTTTCTTCTGTTTTCTAGAGCGTGACCTTAACAACAAACATAGGCCTAACAGTTGGTCACATTTAACATGAAATCGGTTGTTGACTCTTCTTGTTTGTTCAACAATATTCAGAATATTCCTACACATAGTCAAAGATATAGTGGGCACAGAGAAAGATGCTTGATGCAGTGTGGCAGCCCAAGTGTCGGATAGTATTTCACATTCTATATTTAAGCTGGGACTTCTGTCGCTGCGCACTATTTAAATTCTACTGTCAGTGTCAAAACAGAGACGAAGGGTGCAACAATATGATGGACCTTTTTGAGACCAACACATTTTTATTTAGTGATTTGCGTTACCTGGAAGAAGGAGACCATGAAACGTTACAGAACTTGGACATGGCGGGAGTGTCGCCTCTGTACCACGGTAATGACAGTCCGCTGTCCACGAGCCAGGATCATGCTCAGTCCGAGACAGGAGGCGACAGCAGCGGAGAAGAGCACGTCCTAGCGCCGCCTGGGCTCAGGGCGCACTGCGAGGGCCAGTGCCTCATGTGGGCCTGTAAAATCTGCAAGAGAAAATCTGCGCCCACAGACCGGCGTAAGGCCGCCACGCTCCGAGAGAGGAGGAGGCTCAAAAAGATCAACGAGGCCTTCGACGCGCTCAAGAGGAAGACCGTGGCGAACCCTAACCAGCGGCTGCCCAAAGTGGAGATCTTACGCAGCGCCATCAGCTACATAGAGAGACTACAGGAGTTACTGCAGTCAATGGACGAACAGGACACAAAGCACACTGGGCCTACGACATGCAACAGCAAGGATCAACAACATGTAAGCCAGCGCTGGGTTTCCACGATAGGCTACATGCAGAATAAAACTGTTGATATTGTATACATTCTAGCAGCAAGGGCTATAACATAGTCTTATAAGATGTCATATGGTAACATGTAAAGAAAACTGAGGCTATTGTCATTCACTGCCAGACGCATTATTTAGCCATATAGCCTAATTAAATTTTCTGTAGGCTGGAGCGTATTGGAAGCACTCGGAGATCTGGCCCTCCTCTGCAGACCATTCCACTACAACAGTGACATGCCAGAGAGAGGGTAAATAAAATACATATATATATATATATATATATATATATATATATATATATATATATATATATATATATATATATATATATATATATATATATATATATATATATATATATATATATAAGCAAAAATGTTTTATTGTTTATTTTTTATTTTCAGAGTCTGGTGATGCATCCTGTAGCCTCCTACGCCTCTCTTCCATTGTGGACAGTATTAACAGCGAGGAGAAGAGCTTCACAGAGGACAGCTCAGAACACTAAATTATTATTATTATTATTATTATTATTTTTCTACAACATGAGCCATAAACTTGTACAGTATTTTATACCATTTTATATTTAAATGCAAACAATACATTTTAAAATATATTGTTAAATAATTATATTTGTGTACTTGTTGACCAACAAAACATTTTGAGAGGAAAATTAAAAGTAAAAGGAACAATAAGATTGCATCTTTAACACTGCAGATAAAATGCAACATCTACTGGTTTGCCCCACATTCACGCTTATTTAAAATCCATAAAGTCTCTCAAATATGGTCCAACTGGCATCCAACACAGCAGATCTGATTCCACAACAGAAATTGGACCCTCAGTCCCTCACGTAGTGGGACACTGAATGTCTGGAGACAGCTCTGAGTGCAAAGCCTATTTGCTGTAACAAAGTTCGGAAATATTGACTTGAATGTATTATACCCATTATATTGTACATTTATTACCTATGGGCAATCCATTTACATAATGTCCATGGTATGAGAAGGATGCTGGTGGATGCAAACATGCTCAGATCTCTGTGTTACTGGACGCTGAGGTTGACCTTTGAACTGTGCATGTGTGAGGTCAGTGACTAAAGACCTCATGGTAACACAACAAAAATGTTATATAATTTGCAGACATTTAATGTATAAAGAACATTTTTCTGTAAATATCACTTGCAGAAATCAAATCAAATCATGCACAGTTTTATTCCAGCATCTCAGAGCTTTAACAAAATATCAAATTCTCCATCCAGACAGAAACCTGATATGCCTTTACTATGATGAGATTTTAATGGGTGGCTGTCTGCTCCCTCACCAAGAGAAACCTATTGTTCATTTACCCTGTTTTACACCATTAAAATACCTCTTTGAGCTTAAAGAGTAACTAATGAACTTTCTCATGCTTGGTGCATTTTTATTATTTATCAATACAACTACACACATAGATGCTACAAAAACATAGCCTAAATCCAATCTTGAGTCTTGCCATTCCTTTTTCTGTGTGATGAATTAATTTCTGTTTAGGCTAAGAAACACTTCAGAAAGAGCAAATATATTTATCACATTCTTTGTTTAACAGTCGCTAGAAGAAAGTAGGATTTCCTGTCTCTGGGATACATTCGCAGGACTCGCCTAGAAGGATAAATTGAATCTCTGTCAGGGGCTGTTGTGGCACCAAATGAGGAGCATATTATAAGTCAAAGCATAAGGTCGTTTAGAAGAAATAAGACTCTGCGACGTGAGGGAGATGGACGTAGAAGATCACCTCGTGCCCTTCACTTAACTCTATCTCTGACCCTTGAAAACAACACAAGCACAGCCCGAGTCCCCCGAGAGCGCAACACAACCGTGCTCTACGCCCGCATCAACCGAGACTGCGCACAACTCATCCGCCATGTGCTTCATCATTTAGCCCTGGCATCGGAACCTTTTTGCATCAACTGTAGATCGAGTTGAGGTCATCCGTTGTGCCTTTCATAGTTAGTAGCCTAGGCCTGTCCAGAGGCATCGGACGCGTCTGTTTTGTCAGGTGCGCAGGCTGGCCAGAGATGTGAGTCGCCAAACGTTTTCTCACATTGTGCGAAATATCCGCATTTTACGAGCTGTCAACAGTTTCACCGTCCAAACCAGAAGACAGCGACATGACATGGACGCGGCATAGGGTAATGTGAGTAACGAGTATTGTAGTCTGTTGGTTATTCTTGAAAACAAACAAACAAACAAATAAACAGACAGAAAACACACACAAAAAGGGCGTTTTAGGGAGACCATCTTCAATCTAAAGTTTTCAACCATGGATTAGTTGTTGTTGGGGCTGAGCTGAACTCTCGACTTGTGTCAATAACATTTAATGGTTAAAATTTGGCCACTGCAGGGAGATGGTGCAGGGAATTACACAGTGGTGTCAATAGTGTCATTAGTGTTGAAGTGAGTTTTAACAAACAGGTCACCCCATCCACAACACCTTCAGTGACAAGAATGAGGTGTTTAAAGGGAATTTACCTCTCTGTGTGAATCCATGGGGCTAGAAATGTTACACCTTTATTTACAGCTAAGCAGTCGCTGCAACATATCATGGTACCCCATTTATATTTTTGGAAGTTAATACTGAGAAATATCCCATAATGTATAGGCCAGAGGATCCTCTGTGCACCCTGCAGCCACTATCAGCTTAAACAGTGCAGCAGTATGTGATGACCTGGTACAGAAGGCTGCAGGAGGCGTGAGTGCTGATGAGTGGGAAAACACCAGTAAGTGCAGATGTGGGAAACTCGGCAGGGTACTGGGGTTGAAGGGTGAGAGGGGTGAGGGGGGTTCAGGGAGGGGCCTGCCGCCTTCTGCTGGTGCAGAGGGCTATGGTAATTAGATCTGACCAATGCGGGCCCTTGGCTCTGTCCCGGGGCATATAAGAGGGCCAGGGGCCACAGACCCTCACATCTCTCTAAAGTCTCTCTACATCACTGTCCTTCCTTGTTCAGTGTGTCCTACAGAGGTCATGGATGTGTTTGCTCAGTCCCAAGTGTACTATGACTGCGCCTCTTCTCCAGACAGTATGGACTTTGGTCCTGGAGCAGAGCTGGCTGGCTCTGAGGAGGATGAGCACATTAGGGTCCCAGGAGCACCCCATCAGCCGGGACACTGTCTGCAGTGGGCCTGCAAGGCCTGCAAGCGCAAGTCAAGCTTTGTGGATCGCAGAAGGGCTGCCACCATGCGGGAGCGTAGACGGCTGAAGAAGGTCAACCATGCTTTTGAGGCTTTGCGCCGCTGCACCTCTGCCAAACCCCAGTCAACGCCTGCCCAAAGTGGAGATCCTCCGCAACGCCATTCAGTACATAGAGAGCCTGCAGGAGCTTCTCAGGGAGCAGGTGGAGAACTACTACAACCTCCCAGCAGAGGGCAGCTCTGAGCCCAGCAGTCCACTGTCCAGCTGCTCTGAGGGAATGGTAAGTTTTGCACATGTGTTTGATGTGATGGGCATGTATTTGTGACATGTTTATCCACTTCATCCAGTTGATGATGTTTTCATGGCCTAAAATGAACAAATAACAGTTAACAGGTTCAAAATCTCCTGCCCTTGTATGCAATATCATATTTTGAAGGAGTAATGCTTCGCCACAATTGGACACTTTATAGCCCCCATAAAGCACAGTAAATCCACCTCAGTGAAGTCTGGCAGTGGAGAGCGGGTCTTTTGTACATTCCATCTTGACTCCATGTTCTGCGCTGCTGCCAGGATTTTCTGCAGATTTACTCAGAGAAAGTGTCATCTTGCACAAACTGGTGTTGCTTCCACTGATATAATCGATTAGCCATGCTAGGAGCCGAGCAGCAGAGGGGAGCACCCTCTGCTGCTAGGGCTTTAAGGTGGATGTGAAAAAAGAATGCCTATAAATGTGGTATTCAGGATTTATAGGTATGTCCAAATTATTGGAAAGGGCTAATGCTTCTCCATTTTAGATTAAATCAACTTGTGTTTTATCTACTTTATGAAAAACAGCACATTTAAATTGTTTCTTTCCAGGCTGAAAGCAACAGTCCAGCGTGGCATCAGCTCAATGCAAACTACAACAACAGTTATTCTTATTCCAAAATTGGTGAGTCAATTTTGGAACTATGTAATATAAAATGTGCTAATTTTATGCCAGGCAACAATCAACTCAATCTTTTAAATTTTGTTTTTAGATCATTTGAATGAGAAATCTGCAGGTGCGTCTAGTCTGGAGTGTTTATCCAGTATTGTAGACCGCCTCTCTTCAGTGGAGACCAGTGGTGGACCCTCATCTCTACGGGACGTGGTCAGCTACTCCCCTATCAGCACTGACTCACAGCCCTGCACACCAGACAGTCCCGGTACCAGACCAGTGTACCATGTTCTTTGAACTATTTGGATATAAACAAAGCTGCAAAACAAGAAATGATCTGGGCAGACTTAACCAACCAACTATGGGATGAATGAAGCAGTTCTGAAAACACAGGAGATTGTAAATATGTATATATATGGCATTTATTCCTCCCGATATTTTACCAAAATGAAATAAACACAAATAAACATATTTAATAATTACATTAAATCATATTCTAACTTGTTGTATTTTTATATTTATGATTTTTGTAATTATCTGGCTGTGTTCACAGCATAAAGCTTATAGTTTGGTTGTCATTTACTCTATTACCTGTTATTTTATTTTTTTTTACAACGTAAAGAAAATAAAGTATGAGTGTTATATGTATGAATGCATATGCCTGCTGTAAATATGACATGTTTGTAATCGTAAACACACTGCAGAGTAGCTTAAAGAATCATTTTCACAGGTGACCTGTTTTACTGATTCACTCTCACCAAGACTCAAGGCCTGAGGGTAGGTGAAGTGTCTTGGCCAAAGACGCAGTGTATGCACAACATTTGGTTTAGTGTCTTTTCACACTATATAATCTTGTTTATAGAAGAAAGGTAAAGGAGTAACTTCACTCAGTGTTTTATGTTTGTTCTTTTAAAAGTGCAAAATCATAACTACAACATTTCAGAACCAAAATATAATGATAACACGTGTTTATAACCACAGTAAGGTAAAACAGTTTTTTTGCCATCCCTGAGCAGACTACTTTGTCTGTTCAGTCAACACCATCACTATTCAATTACATTATGACAGTGTTTTTTTTAATGGTGAGTTCATGTGAACATTAAAAATAATACAAAAAAACACACCATGCTGAGATTTAGCACGATCAACAAAGGGTGTACTTTTTATTAGGTAATATGTATGTATGGTAATATGTATGTTAGACTAAACTAAAACCACCACAAATCTGCAACTGCAGTTATGATAATTTTAAATAAGTACTCAAAAAGCAATCACTGTACACAAGCACATAGATTTATTTATACAAATATATTATGTATAACAATTGCATATCAACAGTTTTCTCTTTTTCTTTTCTGCACATTGGACCATCCGCATCAAAAGTGAATTTAGAAAGACACGTTAACAATAGAAAAAGGGAGTTAAATATTGAATATTAATAGAAACCAAAAGTGTTAATGTGCCTTTTTTTATTATTTCTATGTGTGGCATTACACAGAAAAGTCTAATTGTGTCTTGAAATATACCAAAATACTGCAACTTAGACTATATATTTTAATTTAAACAAAGAAACAAAGGAACAGCAAATGAGCTAAAGAAAAGACAACATTGGAAAGTGCAGTGACTAGACACTGGCAGAAAGCTTAGCACCAAAGAGGGGACGAAGAGTCACAGCAAACACTTATTTGAATCTAAGGAGTGTTCAACACAATCAGTGGGCGGGGCTAAATCACATTTCCCAATCAGACAGAGTTGAAAGCTGCCACTGCTTCTCGCCATGATTGTCCAAAACTGAATTGAATAAATAAACTTTCATACTACAGTGATAAACATTACATAACAATTTCATTGAATAAATATATTTTAAAATAAAGAATAAAACATGTTATCTATATCATATATCTGTAATAAATAGACAAATCTGAAAAAACAAAACAAAAAACACAAACAAATATATTTTTGGCTGACAATCTTTTCATCTGTCGGAACAAGCTAAATTCTTATTTAATTTGAGTATGTAGTTGCTGATTTCTAATTTGTCGATAATCTCTTAAAATGGCACAAATTTGGACAAAAGCTGCCTTACAATGCAAATAACCAGTTTACACATCTTTATCACTACATGAAGTGAGTGAATTTTTGAAAAATCAAACTGAACTATACGTGTTATTGCTAACTCTACAGGATACAAAATCTGTTCTTGCTACAATATAAGAAGGTAAAAAATTGTTTGTCACATTTATCCAAAAACAAGACACAAATCAGATGAATTGATCATTCATACAGAGACACAAGCACCAGTTGAGGAGTCATTTAAACACCACTGTGTAAATGATAACAATGGCCAAACGGCAAAGGTGCCACATTGTAATATTAATCATTAAATCATAATAGTGATCTCAAACATAAATCACAAAAAGAAAGATTCAATTTAACTCACAATCTTCAACTATTCAGGAAAAAGGTAACAACCAAAGAGAATACAAAGTTTAAATGGTCGACTTGTAGCAGTAGTCCCCCGCAAGGAATATCTCTTTGTTTCTGCTTTGAAATCGATGGTACACATGAGCTGAGGGAGCGTGGAGAGTAAAAAGTATTCATCCTCATCCACATTGAGAGAGATAGAGGTTTTTCCTTTGGAATTCTCAGCACGGACAGATGGTCTTTGAGATCTGCTGCTGTCGCTCATTCACTTTTTCTTCTGAAACAACCTGCAGATCACACACAAGGAGAAACAGACTGAGAGCAATGCAAGCTGAGGCACACATACACAGTAAACGCCATCATGAGGGTTGATAAAAAAAACTGAGCTGGAGGACAGGTCAAAATTTGATGTTATGTAATTTTTTTTTAGAGTTTAGTTTTCTTCTCAGACAAGAGACAAATCCACGTAACAACACAGGACACACGTACGACAATAACAAAAACAAACACACACACATACACACAAAATGATGGTGGAATTTGCTGTTTAATCGTCATGTAAATGTTTTGTCCTAGTTCATGTTTGATATACAGTATGTCTGTACAACGCATCCCTAGCTGATGAATGCAAGAGGATTGACTGCTAACTTAAATATCTTTTGTTTCTATGTTGCTGCTGCCGATCAATAAAGTAGATAAAAGGTAAAGTAATAAAATAAAATCTATCTATCTGTCTGATATCTCTGTAATCACTAGGGCTAGCCACATAAAACACAACTGACAGAAAAAGGGTAAATAAATAAAAGTGAAATTATTTATTCACAATAGCAGAAAGTGGTGACATTATTTAACCAAATTTAAATCTAGAATGTGAACACAACCCACTGGAGCTTTTATTAATTAAATTGATATTAAAAATAACTTGGCTGTTAAATATGTAGGAGAAGAAGAGTAAGCAGCTTCAGTCTACTTCTCTAACAGTTTGACACAATCACAATGAAACACAAATTACTGCTAAAATCAACTTTCCAACCAAAAATTCACTTTCTGTATACAAGTATATGGAGGCTTGTGTCGTAATGTGGACCATGACACTTGATTTTTTAAGTTTTGTTACGCCCATGTAGATCTGTGAAGTCATCGAGCATACACTGATAGAACATAATCCTGCCCAGTCCCCTGTCTATACTTCCACCGCAGCAGTTAAAAGCTGCTAAAAGCTCCTAAATACCTTCCCAAGCCCAGTCGTGCCAAGAGCAAGACAAGAGATATCCTTGTGAGGAATTAGCATCAAAGGGGCATTGACACAGAGGTTGGAGATGTGCCCATTTTTAACACTGTAAAAGAGCATGTACCACAGCAATGTATTATTTTATTGTATCATGTAACTTGAAATGTGCTTCATATCAACTACTCTCTACTAATACTACTCTGAATTTATGGTGCAGTGTGCAGGGTGTTTATCAAGCTAGTTTATCAGCATACACCTATGAATAATTTAGGTCTTTACAGTAAATGTTTCTCACAGATGCACCAGATGCAGCAAAATGCCTCACTGGGGAAAGAGGCTTCAAGCTAAAATGGAAAGGTAATGTCCCTATCTGGCTCATATTACTAAGTATAGATGGATGAATAAGGAGTAAAATCAACTAACAAATAATCAACAAAGAGACATTATGTAAAAAAGAAGACATAAGTTCTATAGAAATGACACTATTAATGATACACAAAGCACAATTATAAAAACTGAAAATTAGAAATGAGAAAACTATGAATTTGGTACAATATTCTCAAGCCAAGTCAAAAATAAAAAAAGGAAATATGTAATGAAAAGTGAGAAAATATATTTGTAGAAAGTAATCATATTTCAGTGGAAAAACAAAGAAAAAAAAACAGTGAGGAGATGTTAATTAAAATCTTAACTTACTTTATGTTAGTACTTTGATTAAGAGAGTAATGCCAATAGTTTTGCTATTTACATATAAAAGCACCACTTTATACAACCTAAACTGGAGAATTTCTAGCAAACCCCAGAGTTGCAGTATATCTTACAGACTATGGCATGACAAGATGACAAAATATTCTTTTTCCCCAAGGTAGGGTTGTGCAACTAACACGATTTTAATCGTGATCAAGTTTCACTCAGGTGCCAATAAAATGCTTGGGTCTCTAGTCAGTCCTGACAGTAAAAGTATGTGGTCTGGGCAGAGTTCAGACTTTAGAGGAAGGCATTTTTTGTTGAATGTGAATGTGTTGTTTGTGTTCAAGAAATTAAAATAGAATAGCAATTTTTAAATAAAACAAAAATAAAACTGAATTAAAAATAGAAAAAAGGTTAATTCATGTCTTTATCATTTTGCACAGCCCTACCCTAAGCCCTTACAACATTCATCAGTCATCACAGGCATTAACATACTAACATAGGAATTTAATGTGTGCGCCGCCATCATAATTTAAGTTGTATTAGTTTGTATGGGGCTTCTGATCTTGACAGCAAATAAGTTCAATACGGACTATAAAGCTGTTTTAAAGCCCCCCAAAGAATCAGTGCAAAATTGAAAATTTAACATTTTACACAATTAACCTAAATTCTCCATTGAAATTAACAGGATCCCTGTTTAACTAGAAGTGCCACCACAAAAAAGCAGTTTAGGAGAATTTAGAGCATTATGAAAAGAGCTTCTGCTTTGTTGGTCCCAGTCTCTGAATTATCCTCTTTCTTGCTGTATCTTCTTGTACAGGTGCATCTCCCTCACCCTTAAAGCAATGAAGCGCCTCACCTACGACATGTGGTTCTGCTGTGAAGCCTGGTTCTGCTGCTGCTGCTGCTGCTGCATGAGGAGCTGCTGCTGCTGACGCCGCCGGGCCGTGCGCAGCTTTTCAAACCTCGCCTCCATTTCCTCCAGCACTTTGGGGGTGTACCGGACCACCAACTTCACACTGTCCTTGGCTGCTTTCAAGAGCTCTACAGCCTTCTCGTGGTGCTCCCCTTCTACACTCTGCAGAGGAAGAGAAGGAATAAATATTGAAATATATGATTTCAAGTCAGTATTTTTATATATTTTTTTTATAATAGTGCACTACAAAAACTGAAACCTTGCCAAGTTAAAATGACTTGAATTAAGATACTGATATGAGTAAATTTCACAGAACATGTCCAATTAACTACCAATGGAATAAATATTTTTGCAGTTAAAATCTGTCCATCACTGACTTAAATTTCAACTGTTCACAAAAGTAATTATTTTATAGACCTACACCTACCACCCCATTGACAGAGAGCAGTTGGTCTCCTCTCTTCAGACCCCCATGTCTCTCAGCCACGCCCCCCGGGATGATGCGTGAGATGTAGATGGGTGAATTCTGCTCCTTTCCGCCCATAACGTTAAAGCCAAGCCCCTCGTCTGTTTTGGGCAGCTCCACCACCCTTGGGTGAGAGTGACCTTCACTGGCTGCAAACGCTGCCACTGTGGCCTGTGGATGGAATGCCAAGATTAAGCACGTTAGGGAACAGACAAACAGATAGAATACAGGATTAACATACTGACATGTAGTGTAAGAAAAAATGAATATCATAGTTCTGAAGTCTGGAAAATATGATTCTAGGATAAAAAAGAAAAAAGCACATTATGTAACTTTTTTGGTGATAACCTATTCAGGTGTTTTTATTGTTAAAAGATACCTTTAAAACACCTTTTACCTTTCCACCAATCTGGCCTGTAACTTGTCAAGGTGGCATCACCTGATTCTCTTAATTGAAATATATACATTTAATGTTATACTGAGAAACATTCCAGGTAAACAATAACATCTCCATGGGCAGGTGGCTAATCCTTTACCAGAAGTAATACATAGTGCACCTTTAACTTAACGTTAACATTTTGTGTGATCACTAAATATTTACCCACAGATGCATGTACACAGTCAGTCAGTCGGGAGTCCAATACTAATGTCTGAACTTCGCAAATGGTGAGGATCAAGGTTCTATACAAAGTCCCTAGCTTAGTGAACACCAGGATTATACTTCCTAACTCATGCTGTAGAAGTCAGATACGTTTCACCCAGCCCCAGTCGGTTACTGTGATTGTGGGGAGTCTTTGAACTACATGCCAGACTCCTTGCCCCTTGTACCCAGAGAACAAAGTATAACGTGAGCTTGTGATTCTGAGCCTCAAAGTGGTATTGGGAACTGAACAGACACACATGGCAAGGCAAGTTTATTTGTATAGCACAATTTGTACACAAAGTAATTCAAAGTGCTTTACAGAATAGGAAATACATTAAAATCACAATAAAAACAAATCAAAACATAAATAATCATAAAGATTAAAATTAAAAAAGAGAGACACAAATTAGAGAGAAGAGTGCGGAATGAAAACCTTTCAGTCATATGCACAGTGGAACAGAACCGTTTTGAGCCTGGATTTAAACAGCGTCACAGAAGAGTCTGTCTCACATGTTCAGGAAGACTGTTCCAGGTTTTAGCTGCATGAACCTGAAACGCTGACTCCCCTTGTTTAGTCCTGACTCTGGGCACCAGCAGGAGCCCAGTCCCTGAGGTCCTCAGAGTGTGAGATGGTTCATATGGCACTAACATGTCAGAGATGTACTTTGGTGCTCGACCATGGAGAGACTTGTACACAAGCAGAGCTCCTTTAAAGTCTATTCTCTGAGCCACAGGAAGCCAGTGCAGAGACGTGAGCACAGGACTTATGTGCTTGTACTTCCTAGTTCGAGTCAAGACCCGAGCTGCAGCGTTACATCCAGTCCACACATGCATTTTGCTGTCAGAGCCGCATCTTTTATAAAATGTCACAGAGATGGGGAAAGCTGTAGTGTATATCTGTCCTAAGTGTGTCCAATATCCCCAAAAGCAAAGTCAGACTTGACACTTTCAGGTCTGTGCTCCTTCCCCTAGATACTATCCCTGCTCCATATTCATGCATCTTCCCACCATCATTACTCTCTTTTCAGACACTTATTTAGCTTAGCTTCTTACACTGTTTTGTTTGGCTGGCTTATTGTATTCTGCAAACTCACCTCCCTCTATGCCATCCATTCCTATTTCCTTTAACAGTTACTGGCCAAACCTTGTTCTCAAGCTCAAAGCAGCTTCTCAGCATGCACACAGTCACCTGCAGGCTTGCAAAACATTGCCCTTCACAGTGTTGCGGATGGTTTGTCAAAAAAGCATCTCCTATACAGCAGGAGATGCTTATAGGAGAAGCTCTCTTGCCTCACAGCAAGAAGGTCCCATTATAAACCAGTACATTTGCATCATCATTGGGGATAATGTTCAATTTATGATTTTATTGTTGTATCTTTTATTGTAAATTAAGGGGTAAGTAAAGCCACCTGTTTCTTCTGAAAAGCACGGAATCATGACATGACACACTGAAAAGGCATCAAGGTCAGGATTACTGCACAATTTTAGCTCCACGTTGCCTACATCAACCTGCACCAACCTACAACTTCTTTTTCATGACATTTAAAAAGGACCAAGTATTACGCAAAAAAAAACTATTACAGTGGTTTTGAAAAGACAAGTGAACATCGATGGGAAATGCCAAACAATTCCAAGCCCTTGAATCCCTTTAGTGACCTCATGTGGCTAAAGTAAGAATTTTTATGGCAGCTGTGTTTTAAAGTATCTCCATGAATACGGAGGATAATCATTAACAATCATCTAAATCAGCTATTTCCTCCCCCAGTTACCGTCATTGTCATATTTTACTAACAAATGTTACCATCTTATTAGACATCATAAAAATATTGTTACAATAATGTACAGAGAAAGTAACCCCCTGAATTACTTTTTAATGAATTACATCATTATTATTGTTTTATATAAGGTATCCCACATTCATTTGCATTGCTGAATACTCTGAAGCAATATATAATGCTTCAAAATGTCTTATTGTGAAAGAAATATTGCAATAAATAATGATACTGAAACTACTTCATGATACTGATTGAGATAAAAATAAAGCAGGAAACCATTTTTAAATATAAATTATCATTAAAAAGATGAGCAACATATCAATTAATAAAATGAACCAATTATTAGCCATAGAAGTGACTTTTTCTACTTTCAACAGCTCTAATCTTGTTACATAAAAAAAATAAAAAAAATCTCATGTTATTCAAAGAAGTTGTACCCATGATAAATATTGAGGCCCAAAATATATTGATCCTGATATCACATATTGAACAATAAGTCATATAGTAATTATTGTAACAGGCCTACTGAATATGTCTTCAAAGCTGGGCCCAACAAAGTCAGACAGATAACTTTCACTAGGCCCACATGCTCTTGTTCCTTATGCTTTTTATCCTTTTGCATTGAAAGCCCTGCCACAGCAATGTACACCGGAGAGGAGAGGACCCAGCTGGGTTAGGACCAAAGAGATGGGAGTGTTTCTAACTAGGTGTCCTCAGTTTCCTTTATTTCCCTTCCCCTCCCCCAACAGGTGCCTCCTTTCGTTTCTAAGAGACAAGGTGCCGGAAACAGGACCCGAGCAGCATAACCAGGTCAATCTCATTTCTTTTGTGTCTGTTAGATGAATCTGTTTAAAATGTGAGGGGCATTGTGTTGGTCTAAAACAGACACTAGAAAGAAACTATTTATTTTCTACTGCAGAAGAGATATGGTGGTAATAACATGGATCAATCTTAATAATGGTCATCCACAGCTCAAAGTGAAAAGTAGAGCACATTAACTGCTGACAAATGAAAAAAGCAAGTATATATTACAAACACAGTGATTGTTTTACTGAGATTGTGAGTGGCATTTATATAAGCTTTCACATCATCCAATAAAGACCAGTTTGAAATATATGACAGCTTATCTCTTTAGACAGTCTAGAATAAGATGCTGCCACTGAGCGCTGGATATTTTATAAAATGCATTTTGTTTATAAAGATAGATGGTAGATAATAGTGTCAGCGAACACTTTAATACAACTTCTAGGTGAACCTTGATGAAAGGCATGCATTAAAGGGCGCAAATTATGCTATTTTTGGGTTCTATGTTATAATGTTGTTTCCTCACAAAAAAAACATACTGGAGTTGTACTTTCTTTCATTCACACATGTTTAGCACACAAAGCCTGCATATTTAGAAAACACTCTATTCCATCTTGTGATATCATGCGGTAATACAGGAAGTGCTCCACTGTATTTTTAAACTCCATACAACTTCATTATAACTGGAATAATTTCAGCCCTGGAATTTCCAATCTCTACTGAATTAAAGGTAAAATGGGCTGTTCACCTGAAAACTACCACTACATGAAATCAGAAAGTGGAACAGAGTGTTTTGAGCTTTTTCTCGATGTACACACTTATAATAAAAAGTTACTCAAACATGAATGAAACAACATGACTCGAGGTACGTTTTTGATGAGGCAACAACATTATCCACATAGTTTAAAGAGTCAATTTTGCATGATGTAGGACCTTTAAATATTAACTTTAAATGATGTATATGCAAAGTGTGCTGTAAAAAATATCTTGTTTGGATTTGACAAATACTTGAGTTCCTACCTTGGCAGTGGCCCTTGCCTGGTACTCTGGACAGCCATTTACAGTGATGGTTTCATGCATATACTGGTAGACCTTGAAGAAAACACACACACACACACAAAAAACATTTTAATACAGTTTAATCTACAGAAGGAAAACACGTTAGCAACAATACGAGTAGCATACATGATCAATTAAACAGTTTGCTCTACTACTTCTAATATAATAGGACTTGGATCAATGCTGAAAGAACAAAGGGTCATATACAATACTATAAATAACAGGGATTCATTTGTCATTATGGTACATAGTGTTGGTTTGTGCTGCCTCTGCTGTAACAATGTCAAATCCTTGCTTTTCTGTTTAGACCAAAGTGAAAAAAACTAATCATATTTTTGTTCCAGACCTCATACCAAGTCTCGGTCTGTCCGCTCGACTAAAAACCAGATTCATCTTTCTCTCCTGAGGCTGTCCTAATCAGTGTGGACATCTGACCTTTGGAGTCTGAATACATCTCTTACAAACACCTCTGCAGAGATCTTTCAAAGTGGAAGAGATCAAAGTGGGACGTGGAGGGTAATACTGTCAAGAAAAGTAAAAGGGATATGCACAGAAAAGCTTATTTTATTGAATTACTGCCAACCTTTGTGGCCTTCATTTCATTTATCACAAGAGGCACGTCAGAGGAAGTAGCATTGCTGAGCTCACCTGAGAATTACTAGTATAATGTATATTATCAAGACTTTATCCAGTGTCAAGGGAAATCATGAGCCTCGGGTATCACAAAAGATTAGGTTTAATTAACAGCAGAAGGGGAGCTTTAGAAAGACAACCTCTAACTCCTGAGCTGATTAGCGGAGAAGATGTAATGAATGAACTGAAGTGATATGTCTTTAGCACCCACCCAATTTATGGCGACGACTTACTATGTCTACAAAAAAATAACATAATATGTCAAGTCCGCTTTTTCATTCTGACTTTGGTTTGTCATTTGCTTGCAAATGTTCACAGAGGTCTTTTTTTTTTTTTGGGCTTGCTCCTGAGCGGTACTTTCACATCATTAAAGAGCTGGTATTTATCCTCTTATCAGTTCTGTTTCAAGTTAGTAGATCCAGTAATGATAATAACTGAAATATACCCATTTAACTAGTTGCTTTTAATTTATGTTGTTGTTTTTTTTCTAGACTTGGTTGCTTGTTGCTTTCTGAAAATCTGGCAACCCTGCATCCTTATTTAATATTTACACTGTATTTAAATCATATTTGAATGGTCATGTTTTAGTGAGAGAAAATACTAACATAGCCTAATCTAATACCAGTAAGATTAAATGCAATTTACTCCGTCCCTGTAAATGCCATGACTTCATTCAATTGTTTTGTTTGCTTGTGAATCTGAAAATGGATTTGCAGCAGAGCAACAATGAGCCCACTGAGCTTTTGCACAGCTAAGGCAAAGCACTTTTCAAAACGGCACACATGGATTTGCTTGCTTCTGTCTGCAGCGTGGTTTACTGTATTTGCAGAAATTTAACAATTCAAATCCACAACTCCAAAACAGATTAGATTTAGTTGATGACTAAATTAACAAATTAAATAATAACTCTATAAGGCTTAAATTTGGAATATGCAATTTCTCTGTCCACTGGTGTAAAGATTTTAAAAAGTTATTTTTAAAACTGCTTTTGGAGAATTAGCTCTACATCTACCTTAATCAGTATATCAATGTCATCAGTATTGTGTAGGCAAACAAGCAAGAAATGAATGTCTTTAACAAACTTGCTCTTAAGATAACAGAAATATTTAGGCCAGGTTGAACAAACATTTAGACCAGGTTTAGTGTTGACTCTGAAACTTTTTTTTTTTTTTTTTTTACCTTAGAGCACTCCTGGATGAAAGAGGCATTACATTATCTCATTTAGGTGTAAAAACTGTAGTGGGGTGTATTCGTAGCTTTCTTTATGCAACATTTTAAAGAGCCATGAAATCAACAAATCCTTTTCATCTGTGTTTTTCCTATTCTGTGAGAGGAGGTGGGAGGAATAGCTACTGGGTTAACAATTCTATCCAGAACTAAAGAAAAAGGTAACATAGATTGAAAAAGTCTAATACAGACACATAATTAAGAAAACACATAATAATTAAGAAAAAAATATTAAATTACCACAAATGATCTAGCCATGTTCTATTTTGTGTAGAATTGTATGTGTGAAATGCGATGAGTTAAATCCACTCAAATTTGATACAGCACTCCCCATGTAAATTCTCACTCTGGATCATTTCCGCCTGGTTAGCTTGCGCAGTCATCTCATCTTGTGTCCTTCCTCTCCCATTTGCAAGGCTGATTGACCCTGACAACTCATTTAGGCCAATGCACTGGGACTAACACAGTGCAGACATTTTGCTCGCTCTGTCACTCACATGGAGAAGTGCAACGATCTGTGCATTTGACCAAAAACTGCTGATTAGGCACTTGTTTCCCTCTTAAATGTTTTTCAAATAGACACCTCTTCTGTCATCTCCGACTGATCGGATTCATAAAACTAGTCAGATTCATGCATGATCACAAAATACAAACGTGTGCCGACTATTTTATTAGTATTGCGCAAAGGAAATCTCACTGAAATGTGGCACTCGCTATAAAAAGTATGCTCAAGTTTTGACAAGCTGCTTTATTAATACTACTTGTTCACATGGGCAAACTAATTAAGAGAAGGTGCATCACAGCCTGATAGCATTGTAAATCCTTCTGATAAACAATGCAAATTTAATTAGCTCGAATGAGAAATAAAACTGAACTATTTACAGAGGTCCCGGATACAACTATGCTAAATCAAAATAACTGTTTACAAGAGGGAAGATGATGTGAAAGCTGATGATTAAGCTTGGATAATTAAAATCTGAATAAGCATTTATCTAGTTAATGATTTGGTTTAACTGAACTTACTTGACATTTTTAATAATTCAACATGAACAAAATGATTGTTTTCTTGTCATCCTCAAAAATTCTGCACTTAAATGAATAAGGGTAAGGACAATAAAAAAAAAACATGTATATTTTCAGATATTGTCTCTTGTGTTGTCTCAGATGATGACAAACTGCTGCAGAAGAACTTAATGCTGTGTGTAATAATGTACTGTAGTAGTCATTACTCCCAGCTGGCTCAGCATTGCAGTGAAATGTGTTTGTCTCATGGGCTACCAAACCTGTAATTCACTGGAAAACAACACAGCCTCTGCCTCCCACCATGATGCTGATTTCACACTGCTCTGAAATGTATTTGGGAATTTCTTCATTCACTCATCTCTTGCAATACTGTGAGCACTGTCCCGTACTGGTACTTAGATAATTCACTTTTTTTGCTCAGAGCTGTGCCAGCATGTACCAGGGGCTCTTCCAAACAGAGACAATCTAACCCTTTGAGACTGAAAGACAGTTTTTTGTTGTCTAACTAACTAGGGTGGAACGATTTGGGAAAAATTTTATTGCGATTCTTCTGAAAAGCATTGAAATTGCGATTTGCGATTTATGTTTCAAGTCTGGCAAAAACTGGAATATAAATTGTCAATCTAAGACAAAAATCTAATTTCAGAAGATGATTGCATGGATCTGAACTACATGGATAGCAGTTTTTATGTAGAATAAGATTTGTTGTGGAATTGTTGTTGAAAACTTGTAAACCCTTTCAAATTGTGGATTCAATTCACCATAGATAACCAAACCTAAACTAATGAAGGATCTTTGATGTTGTGCAATAGTAGAGATTTTTTAACATGAAAAATTCCTTTATAGTAGCATATAAATTTTAGATGCCACATGCTTGGGTTTTCTAAAAACAAACCCATCTATTTGGCTCGAAAATGTTGTTAAAAAGTCAAAACAACTATTGCATTAAATGAAACACAACACAGCATACAGGTGCTGCTGTCGTAACAGTGTCTGTATCTTTTTTTTAGCATTGCACAGCGAATGGTGCAAAGATGATAAATTGGAGGACTGAAGACAGATTGTAATTTTGTGTTTTCTAACAAGAGGGAAGTGCTGTGGTCTGTTGTTATGACAGAAACCTGTAGCAGCAAAATGTGATTAAGAAGAATCATCATGCGCTCAATTAAAACAGACTCTAACGAGCTCATCAAAATGTCAAGTTGATGAAATACTCATTATGATTTTGCTAAATAAAACCCAATGAGTTCTACTGTTCAGCTAATTTTAAGTCATAAAAATGAAGTGACATGTTATACTGCAATGCAACATTTTAAAACCTGGCATGCATTTAGCTATTGCTTAAAAAGAATACTGTGTATATATATATATATATATTTGCGACATACGTATTAGGTGAATGCTGTCATGATATTGGTCAGAAATGTAAATCTTTCATGGAAAATGAACTGTAAAACATGATTTTTTTGGCATAGCATTGACTTTGATTTTTATACATATATTTTATGTTTAGCTCCAAATCAATAAACCAAAGCTTTGAGGACCCCGTGTTTGACCGGTAAATTCCAATTAAACCTATTATAGTTGCTTTTAGGAGATTAAAATCTAAAAATAAAAAGGATAAACGTCACAAAACGATTAGCATGTGGCCTCACCTCTCTGATGGCTGTGCAGAACTCACTTTGAAGCACTTTCTTCAAAGACTGAAGTTTGTGACTGGGGACATCTCCTGTGTCCTGCAACTTCTCTAGCAGCTCAATGGCTCTGGCAACATCTGTGAAGAGGAGAGCAAATCTTTATGCATCACAACCAACTCTGAGGAGGAAAAGGAAAACATTTCTTTCCATTCAATTAAGAGCGCAGTCATGGTGAAGGTGCTATGCAATCAATATGAGGGATAATGGGAATGGATCTGATAAAGGCCAGTGGAGGAGGTGAAAGACAGCAGCTAACGGGGCTATGGATTGTTTACATAGGCTCAGCACAATTATATAGAGTAGTGTATAAAGGCAGGATTGAACAGGATTACTTTGTTTTGCATGAGAAAGGACACTAAGGTTATTACCATGACAATAGGGATTCAGGGGTCTAGGGCATCAAAGGATCTGTTCTAATATCTATTTCACAAACAATGCAAAAACTAGGATCAAAACTTAATACTCATTTGAGCAAGACAAAATTTGACATTTCCTGAACGTGTTATAATTATCTTAAATTATCACTTGAATTACATTATACTGTCTATTGTGTCAAGTATCAAGTCTATTCCTTAGTAAAAAACAAAACAAAACTGAGTTTAAAATTTTAATATTGTGAGAATACTGCCACATTGTTTAAGTTTAACTTTGTCAACTCAGAATATGTTGCAGGCTTATTTGAATTTTGTATTGTGTATTATTGCAACACTGGGTTTATGAATTTAAGGGCAACTTTAAACTTAAGAAAAAGTATGATATTATTACATTCTGCACATAAAAAACTATTACAAATAAATAATGAAAATAGAAAATAATTTAACCTTTGTGTACTTCATATATAATAAGTTAGTCCTACAGTTACCAGTGTGGAAAGTCAGGAATGGAGTAATAAAACCTCCTACTGCTCTTTAAGACACACTTTATTAAACATTTGCAGTGCAGCTTCTCAATAAAGTGGAGGATCGGGGAGTTTGAACTGACTTCAGTCTTATCTGAGATGAGAACAGAGAACAGTGCCATAAAAGAAAGATGTAAAACACCAGCCTTTAAACCATAGTAAAAGATTGATGTCAGAAATCCAAAAGCTGTTTCTATCCCCCTGTAATAAGGAACTGTGGGTTATATATTGATCTATGAAGGAGGGATTCAGTTTTCATTTAGGACAGGTTGTGGCTCACCAGAACATGTCCGAATAGATTTGTATTGACTGTGTAGCGAAGCAACATTGGTAGACCGTAAATTGCATTGATCAAATATAAACTACTTCAGCGTGTATTCCTCAGTGCAGACAAAATGTTAGAATTTAGAGCTGCTTACAGTGACATGTTGCTCATTACAAAACAAAATACAGTAAGCATATAGATAGAAAGATATAGTTCATTAATGCTTCAAGAAATTATTTTGTTGCATTAGCTCAATTTACAAAAAAAAACAAAAAAAAAACATACCTGGAGTTGTGTTTTGTTTCATTCACACATAATAACACAATAATCCTGCATATTTCTGCTGTGTTCTTCTCTCAAAAAGAAAACACTCTGTTCCAACTTGTGATGTCATGTGGTAATACAGGATGTGCTGCACTGTGTTTTTCAGCTCCGTACACCTTCACTAGGATCATGTGGATAATTTCAGACCTGGAATTGCCAATCTCTATTTAACAAAAGGTAAAAGGTAGCTGATAAGTTGAAAACTACCATTACATAAGATCACAGGGTGGAACAGACCTTTTTTAGATTTCAAGATTAAGAAACTAAAGGGTTACTCAAACGTGTGAATGAAACAAAACACAAACACAACTCCAGGTATGTTACTGAGCAGGCAACAACATTCTAGCATGGCTTGAAGCTCACAAGAGGCAATTTTGTGTAATATAGGACCTTTATCTTATCTTATCTTATCTTATCTTATCTTATAACAACACAAACAAAAATGTTTCTTTACAATGCATTCATTCTAATAATACAGTGCATAAGCGCACACTTATAGCCTCGATCCACCTGAAAAAAGTGTCTCAGGTTGTTTTGGCGATCTGACTCTGGCTGAATAATAAGCTGTGGTGCCTGCTCCACCCAGTGCGGGCATCTGTCTGGGAGGTTTACAGGCATTTCCTTCTCATTAAATGAAGGTCAAGCGCCATCAAGAAATTTCCTTTTAGCTTTCACATGCTCATTAGCACTATTTTGTTTCTTCACATCAAGACTTTAAGCTGTGCACAACTTCAAAGGCCAATATGGGAGAGACTGAATTATAAATGCTTCCTTTAAAGAGCTTTTATCTGCAAACCTAAGTGTTTTATGGGCTATATTTATAATTGTTATACCCTGATAATCAAACTGTGTGAGAATTTGTGGTAGTGATTTGGTATTTACTAAAGATCGACCAGTGTTTGCAGTTTGCAGATTGCCAATATTTTTGGGCCGATGCAAAAGGCCTTTATAAAAGCTAATCTCATTTTGTGCAGTTATATCTTCTTCATATTAGAGTGTTAAAATGAAGCTTTGTGTGTATTTTTAGCTAACAAATTGACCAAAAGAAAATATCATAAGAGACAAGAGGCAGATTTCCCTATTGATTACATTGTACTGAGCCCTGATAAATCAAAGAGCAAAATTGACAAATGTTGAACCTGATTATTTGGATTAGTGATTGCACCCAAGAACTCACTGTATTACAATAATAGTCTGCATTTTAACATTATTAATTTTAGCTGGCCCTCATCTGTATTAAATAACATTGACCTATAGAATGTTGTGATGTTATCTGAAACTTAGTGATTCCCAGGTCTTTTAATAACCAAAACCAAAAATATATTTGTTCCATTACAGAGATAGTACATAAATAAAAACAAAACAAAACTATATACTTGATATTCTAGATTTCAGCATATTTCCATAACAATAAATGTTATATCATCCATTTTTCAAAATAGCTCCCACCTCTAATCATAACCCTGTGAAAAATATGATGTAAGTCTATATAAACTACTGCAAAAACACACCCTCCTTTGGGAATGGGATGGCAGTAAAACTATGCTTCCCACGCACAGTTTTCATTTTTGCCGAATACAGATCATGATACAAGGCTGGCGTTGTCTAAAACACATTTGATTAAGTGTCAAATGTGCGCGAGATTATTTCCAGCAGAGTATGCAGAACAAGATCTCATTCATTTTCTATTTCACAGTCGCTGCAACTCTCTGTTATGGGCAAATTTAAATGATTATCAGAGCCTGGCTACCCCAAAGTGCTGCGTGCATTCTACACAGTATGAAGGACAGATAATAACAGAGTATATGGCAGGGGTCAGGACAGGGCTGCGCAGTTAATCAAATTTTAACCAAGGTTTAGTATTTTCTAATAGTCACTAATCAGATTCAGGTCTTTTTAATCGGAATATCCAATCCTTTGTCAGTAAAATAATGTAGATTGGAGCAGAGTTCAGACTTTGGAGGACGAAATTAGACTATTATTGATTTAAATGAAAATGAATGAAAGTCTGTATCGTTTATGTTCAGGAAATGTATATTTATTCAGTGAAGGCCAGGGCGAAACAGCAAAAATGAAAGAATAACTCTGTTCCTCTCATATTCAGTGTGATTTAACTGCTCCAAAACACATACTTTTGCAGAAACTGCGGATCACTCAATTAAAACAACATTAACCACTGAATCTCAATTTTAATAAAAATTTTATAAATTGCCCAGACCTAAAAGCCATTTTCCTTTGTTTTTAATCCAACAAAATAAAAAAATTTGATCAAGCAATACGACAAAAATTTTATCTTGAATAATTTTTTGTGATATCACTAAGCCTTAGCTCAAGAAGGCTCATACTTCGAGGAAATGATCTACAGGGGATAAACAACACCAAGGTTACATCACGTTAAGACACAATGACGCAGATGTGGCTGGATGACAAACTGTATTACCTAACAGTCTGGTGCATAGAAACATTCCTGGGTGACCCTATGAACTCATAACATTGAATGGCATAATCATGGCCACAGCAACAGCCATTACTGAATCAAGTATAGACCTTGAGTTGGAACGATTCTGTGTCAAGTAGTTATATGGGCAGTACTTTATCTAATAGAATATACTGTCAATGTCAGTCCAATAGGTTTCATTTCTTTAAAAACTCATTTAAATAATTTTAACATACAATAAGATTATGCTGTAAGATAAGCAGTTATTTAACATAAGCTATCACACATACTTGTTGTCCAATCACAACAATCAGCAATGAACTACTCTGCAGACAATTTAACTGTAACTTGGTCTGGTTTGGTCTCCATGAAGACAGAAAGGTTTAATACCATACTGTGAACCGTTTCAGACAAAGCAATGACATCTCTATGGAGAAAAGCATTTGACCCTCCACCAAAAAATTACACAGTGCACCTCTAAGTTACAGAATGTATTTGTAATGATTCTTTTGATACACACACCACATATGTAAGTCAATTTAGTCTTCCATGCTGAGAGACTGACACATTTATCATTTTGAGTTAGGCTGTATCCAATTAGGTCATTCCTACTGAGCTGTCGAATGAAAAAGAGGAGGGGATTAGTTTGTTTGCAATGACTTCTTCTGCATTGATATCAAATACAAATATTACCTGTGAAATAAAGATCACAGACAGGGAAGCAAATTTCAATCATGCATAAAATAATATTACACACAGAGAACAGGTTCAAGTTATTTTCATTTATTGTTTAATATATGTGTGCTGGAAAGGAAATCAGTAGTTCCCCAAATTAAACTGATGTAATTTACATTTAATTTTCTAATTTGTACACAGCAGCATTATTAAAAGGAGACATATTGTGCAAAATTGACTTTTCAGAGCTTTTAACCATGCTATAATTGTTTTCCCTTCTCATTTACCCAGTCAAAGTTGTATTTAGACTGATTAGTGCACATTTGAGAAATCTTTATTCTCCTTCATTCAAGACATCATTGCTCCGATCTACCCCATTCTCTACTCACCACTCACCATTGGTACATGCCCACAGCTTTCTACTTACTTTGTTCTCTAGTTTTATTTTCTTAATCACATAGAATTCAGCATCACTGCATAGCCATTTCAGAACAAGTATTTTAAAAATCCATTGCGTACTGAGCTGTAACTATGCAGAGGAGGAGCTGACAGCATATGGGAACATTGGTTGTGATGACATTTACAGAGATCTAGAGTAAAGGTGCAGGCAAGTGCACTTTTCTGACCCGAAAATCAGCACTGTTTATTTAATTAAGTCGTTTTAGGTCAATATTGAGATTTAGAATGACAAAAGTAAACATAATGATCCATGGGTGTCATGGATTAAAACTACAGGAGACAAAGCATAATATGTCTTCTATAATGCAAACACGTGTTTGAACAGGTTACGTTATGCCAAAGAAAAAAAAAAAAACAGCCTCAGCAACATCATTGAGTAGTACTTGTGTGCACTCTTTCACTCAGGCTGGTGAGTAAAAGGTCAGACTCATCATCAACTAATTAGTGTGAAACCAACACAGACCCCCACAAAAGCACCACGACAACAACAGCCCCTCAACAAGCGCACAGTTGTATGGATGTGCTCCAGTTTCCTCTGTAATTACATTGATATATCACAGTCAACACAATCAAAGATCCTTTGTTGCTAGAGTGTTACAAAACTGCAAGAAGCAATAGATGCTATACCATCTATTAAGCTTTTTATTAATAAATACAGCTTCTTAATACTTTCCTCTGAAACTACTGTTGCCCTTGGACAATATTCATCAAAGAAACAGAAAAACACATCTCAAATGGGAAGAATGCAATATTAAACATTTACATCTCTTTGAAAAGAAAAACAGCTTTTAGTTAACTCTATTCTACTACTCTATTTTCATATAACATCCTGCTCTTTTTTCACAAAAGACTCAACAGAAGTGTCTCAAGGTGAATGTAATAGCAGAGGAAAAATTGTCACCCATAATCCTCCAGATCTGATGTGACCAGAAGCATGTGATGCAGTCTGCTTCAGCTCAAATCACTCGACTCACAGCTCAATCCCTCTCACAACCAAAGGAAAGATTTCACAGCATTCATAAACCTGCCCTGTTTCATTACAATACAATTACTCCTATCTATCACTATTTCTGGCAACAGCTTTTTCACTGGAAGTAATAATAATAACACATTGGCTTTATAAAGCACTCTCATTGCATTATTCATTCACTCCACACCTGATGGTAAGCTGCTATTGTAGCCAACTACCCTGGGGTAGACCGATAGAAGCAAGGCTGCCAATCTATTCTGGCCTATCATCCCCTCCAATCTCCACTGATAACTCACTCAAACACATGTATACAAATGTCTTGCCTATGAACACAAAAACAGTATGCTCTGGTTTAAGCAGAAATCAATCTTTCACGGTGGTGCATGCTCCAAGCAAGTGATTTTTTAAGTAACTGCTTCTTCCAGGAAGAGATTAATATCTGAATGGGTGTATTATATCAGCTTTAAACTTTCCTTCAGTAAGAGAGGCTTTGGAAAACTGAGACCATTTCATCCCCTACTGTGACCTTTTACCTAACTTCTCTCCCTCATGTTTGTATTGGGACAAAACGAAGATGAAGGCCTCATAACCTCGCTGAAGTGCTGTGTTGCCTCCATAGTGTAAAACTATCATTACTAACTTAGCGAGGCACGGCAGCTGCTGATCAGTCACTACATGCCACAGCTCGTCGCTGTCCTGCACACCAAGGTCAGACTGAATTCACACTCACACCAACAGTTTTAAATTAAACACAAATGTACCTCCAGATTGTTTAGAGGTCTGTCTGTCATTAAAAAAGTAGAGGTATAGTATTGTTGTTAACGCTAACCTGAAGGGCTCGGCCTAATATATTTTAAGAAATAAATATGATTTGCCCTGACTGGGGCAGGGAGCTTTTCTTAGCCCAGAGGAAATAGCTGCATGGGGTGTCTCCTTTCCCTATATTTGACAGAGTTTAATTCCTATTCAAGACAGTGGAAATGACATAGGACACATGTGCACGACTAGTCTAGTCTGTCTAGTCTCAGTGGAGGGGTGAGAATTGATCGCAAAAATGTTGTAACACTAGGCTATACAGTATAACACTAAAACAAACAAATAAACAAACAAACCAAAAATTCTTCTGAGAGGCATCCACACGAGGTCAAAGCACAAACAGAAAAAAATATGCCTCATACTCCGCACTATTTCACTTCAAACTCAAGCATAATAATAATCCACTTGCACTAGAAAGCTCGAGCAATAATAACGAGGTAACCCCACATCAGCTCACCATTAGGCTAGCACTTAATTGCACTGTTACTGGTTAGTGAAGTACCCTATGGAACCAAGCTCCATACCAGCAGCAGCTTCTATAAGTTGGAGTGCAAACAGGAAAGACGATGTGTTACATAATAGCCCATAGATGGCTTTTATCGCGCTGTTAAGCAGGATCGCATGCTTATCTCTCGCAGAAACAAATGATGGCGATTTAATTAACGAGTCCGACAATGACCCTCCACTGCTAGAAAAAGCGCATCGTTTTGCTAAAGCTACGTTCAACTAGTCTGAAGGAGGCACGGGTGGATTTAAAATGGCATAGGCGCACAGTGCTTTGGATAATACGAGTCGGAGCGTACTTCATTGCAAAAACCTATTTCCAATCCGGGGCGGGTATACAGACATAGGAAGACTGCGTTTTTAGCAACTTAACAAGAATGTGCAAGACAAATAGATTCAAGAGCGCCTTACCTCGCTCCAGGGTGAGCGGTTGGACCACTGTCGCCATGACTGCTGTTTACCGGAGACTGGATAGACTACGGGAGCCGCAGCATCACAGGACGAGAGAGAGAGATGGTGAGAGAGGGAGGGAGAGAGAGAGTGAGAGATGAGAGAGAGAGATGAGAGAGAGAGATGGTGAGAGAGGGAGAGAGAGAGAGATGGTGAGAGAGAGAGAGAGAGAGAGAGAGAGAGAGAGAGAGAGAGAGAGATGGTGAGAGAGAGAGAGAGATGGTGAGAGAGAGAGAGTGAGAGAGAGAGGTGAGAGAGAGAGAGAGAGAGAGAGAGAGAGAGATGAGAGAGAGAGAGAGAGATGAGAGAGAGAGAGAGAGATGGAGAGAGAGAGAGATGGTGAGAGAGAGAGAGAGAGAGAGTGAGAGAGAGAGAGGGAGAGAGAGTGAGAGAGAGAGAGAGAGAGAGAGAGAGAGAGAGAGAGTGAGAGAGAGAGAGAGATGGTGAGAGAGGGAGGGAGAGAGAGATGGTGAGAGAGGGAGGGAGAGAGGGAGTGCGCTGTACTCCATCATTATCATTAGGCTACCTGCCTTTGTTTGAAACACTGAAGCAACAATTTGACATATGATTTTTTTTTTTTTTTTTTTAATAAAGAAAATAAATACACCTGTGCTCAATAGATGCATATGTCTTAAGATCATTTTCTCCAGTTAATGACAGCTCAGCACGAGTGGCTCTAATATTTATCTGCATATATATGGGGAGTAAACAAGGTGAATTAGGCTGGTAAAGTGACAGACAAAACATAAACATTCTGTTTCCAAGAACAGAACAAGCCCAACTAAGTGCAAGTAGACTAAGGTATCAGTATTTTCTAATACAGAAGTTCAGTTTTTGTTGGCCAGTCTGTATGAAAGTGGGCACTAGCAATGCCAGTAGGGTATTTAAATGACTTAACTTTTTGTCACATAATTTTTAAATTATAGGATAGATAGTAATAGCTTATGTATTGCTGACAAGCTTGGTAACAACTCATTGGTTTACTGTGAAGTACTGACTCCCATGCATGCGCACACCATGTTGCCTAATGGACTAAATGATGGTTATCTCAAGCTCCTCAATATTTGTCTTTGGATCTAAAGGCCAGCAGTGCTGGCTGTGATATTCTCCCTATATCAAAGGACAGTTTAATGGCATTGGCCAGTCATGGTTGCTTAAAAACATAGTGCAGTTGCAGTAGTGACCAGGCCTACACCGACCCATCCAGATGTGGGCAGATGTGATGGAGGGATGAGAGCGAGGGGAAGGGATTAAAGAGCACACAGAAAGAGGGCACCAAGAGATTATATGCCTCTTCCATATGTGAATACTAGGCTATTTTTAAAAGACGCTAAAAAATATAATGTAAGATCAAACGGTTTCAGTCTATGCAATATTCTCCCATTTTGAAATACTTTAGCAAATCTTAAGCCTGCATTTTACACACCTATTAAAAGCAAAAATAATGTAATTCAGCGCCCTCTGTTGCACTAATCAGTTCTGAGGTTTAAATATTGCTAAAACAATAGCTGCTTGCTTTGATGTTGAAATGCAATTGCAAATGCCAAAAAGATGTTGGAACATTGAAATGATCAACCAAATCTGCTGACGGAACTATCACCTAATGATATCACGAGGTGCAATGTTTTCTGACCTAATTGTGGGTGACTCAAGCATGTATAATGACATGCTTTAATGTGGTAACAACATTAGCCCAAAATGGTAAACAGTAAAAAACAAACGCACACACGCACGCACGGACGCACGCACACAAAACAATGTCATAGTTTTTTTTTTTTTTTTTTTTTTGCATTAACCTGGAGAGGAGCCTAATGCTCTGTTACACAAGTAGCCTTTTATTCCATTTACTATGAGCAAAGTTCTCATGGCACTGTTTCCCAGCGGGGGTGTGAACTCTTGCATCACAGTTCACATTCTTGAGTTTTTCACTCAGATGACGCCGCTCAACGTGAGTTAGCGGGCTGCTCACCTACAAACATCGGGAAAGTAATGAGTAAAATCAGTTGAACTACTTTTCACACTGAGCTTGCAGCAATGCATTCAAGCATAAAGCAGTTTCTTCGACGACAATCCTACACCCAAGCGCAGTGCAGGACGATCGCAGGAAAACTCCACGTTGATTTAGCACAGCCACGAATAATACGAGTCTGTGCAGCTGCAAAAACGCAGCGCTTCGTCCAACAAGCCTCCAGGAAATATGCCTCGGACACGGCGTACAGCCAGGCCTTCTGCGCGGCGAGGGACAGCCCAGAGACGTTCTGGAGTGAAGCTGGACAAAATATTCACTGGTTTGAGCCATGGACAAAAGTTTTGCGCTTTGAAGACCCCGTGTTTCCTCAGTGGTAGGTAACGTGAGGGCAAAACCAAACGTAACCAAACGTAAACACAAGCGAACGTTTCTTTTTATGTTCATTTCCTTAGGTTTAAAAAAAGTTGCCTTTAGAACCGCTCCCTGATCCATTCCTGTGCACAGTTTTATAGAGGCGTTATTTGGCTGTTGTTTCAATTTTATAGCAGTACTGCTATACAGATATATTTCATGACAAAAATATTCTAAAGCATAATCAATATTATGCATGTTTAGCTTATAGGCTAGAAAATAATATAGGTTCTTATCAGGTTTGTTGGTGGAAAGCTGAATATGTGCTATAATGCTGTGGACCGACATGTAGAGAGTGGACGTGGAGACCAGCCAGCCATCATCTATGACAGCCCTGTGACTGGAACCAAACAAATAATCTCCTACAGAGAACTACAAGAACAGGTAAAGCGGTCTTAATTGGCTTTAACCACTGACTCTTAACTTTTACTTGTTTACTTATTTTAGGTTTCCAGGCTTGCAGGAGTACTAGTGAAGCATGGAGTGCAAAAAGGAGATTTGGTGGTGATCTACATGCCCATGGTGCCCCAGGCTATGTTCACCATGCTGGCCTGTGCTCGGATTGGTGCCCCACACAGTCTCATCTTTGGTGGTTTTGCTTCCAGGGAGCTAGCTGTCCGAATTACTCATGCCAAGGTGGGTAAAGGCAAACACTTAAATTTTAATCATTGTCTAAACACAAATGTTCTGTTTGTGCTTCACTATTTTAGCATTCAATGTCTTTAGGTTGTTATGCCATGTGTTTTGCTTGAATTGCATGAAATATCATTATTGAAACTACATCACAATGTGAAATTGTTTAATGATTTTTTAATGACTCATTCTTAATATTCTCCCAGCCCAAGCTGATCGTAACAGCCTCCTTTGGCATTGAGCCCGGCAGAAGAGTGCAGTACATTCCTCTGGTGGAGAAGGCCTTAGAGCTGAGCTCCCACAAGCCCTCCAAAGTCCTCATCTTTAACAGACCAAATATGGTGAGCAGCAGCAATTGGATTTTATATTTGCCACTATAGTGAAATATATTTTATGAGGTATGCATCCTATGTTAAATAGTGAATGCATTTTGCTTCAAGTTACACTATTTTGATAAAAACACACTTCATGTCTGAATAATTATGGTTGTCTTTTACATGTTTGTCATATTTCAGGAAAAAGTCTTTATGTGCCCTGAGTTGTCTCTAGATTGGGATGAAGAAATGGCCACAGCCCAGCAGCATGACTGTGTATCTGTCTCCTCCAACCACCCCCTGTATGTGCTGTACACCTCTGGGACTACAGGGGCACCAAAGGTACAGAGTTATGGTGCCATTCAAACAACCTACACACATTGTTTTGGTCTAGAGGATGAATCAGTCTGTCGCAATAGAGCCTAAGGTTTCTAACAGATGCTGAAAAATAAGCAGAACCTCCATGTGAACTTCAGATTGACAGGAATAAAAAAAATGAAACTATAGGCCTATCTGCTTCTTTTTTTTGGCCCCTAGGGGATTGTGCGAGACACTGCGGGCTACGCCGTAATGCTGAAATGGACCATGTCAAATATTTATGGACTTCAACCTGGTGATGTAAGACTATCAAGCATCTATTCACATAGTCAATAAAAATGCTTTTAGATGACTTATTTACACATCTTACAGGTTTGGTGGGCAGCGTCTGACCTGGGATGGGTGGTTGGACATTCATATATTTGCTATGCACCTTTACTCCATGGAAACACCACAATTCTTTATGAGGTACAAAATTGCTATTTCCATGGTTAATGTATTCTGTAGCATTTTGTTGCTGAGCTTCTTTCTAGCATCTTTGATCTAAAGATCTATGGTGTACATTTCTGCTCATTTTTTTCACTGCAAATAAAATCAGTGTCCTATACCATTACATTTTCTCATAGATTAACTTAACACTAAGTTTCTGTGGTCTGTTCTCAGGGTAAACCAGTGGGGACTCCAGACCCAGGTGCATTCTTTCGTGTCCTGTCTGAACATAGGGCCTCCTCCATGTTCACAGCACCTACTGCCATCCGAGCCATCCGCCAACAGGACCCTGAGGCTGCAGTGGGAAGGAACTACCCTCTGTCAAGGTAACTCTCATTGACTAATATGAATAATGTACCATGACAATAATATACTATGGAATAATTAACTTCAATATAGGCAATATTTGCTTGAAATACTGTAAACTGAAAAGGGAATGAATACCCCATACTGAAAGTATTCAGGGTCTCTTCACATCTCTATAGATGCAAACTAAATAATAATAATTTACAATGATTATTTTGTAATTGTTTATTCAGCTGGACAATAGAAGTATGCAGTATGTTTTGTCCTGATCAATTCAACCTGCTCTCGCTTTGAGTGAGTCACCATCTCTCCTACCTTCACTGAGCCGTGTGGGCTTCCACTTTGACCCTTCATATCTGAATGAAACTGCTGCAGTGTGACTGCAGCTCTCTTAAAAGATAGACTGTAAATAGATGACATTTTGGATCATGACTTTTGGAAGTCATGTAAAGTAGATAAAATGCTCTATATATTTATGGAATACTTATGGTCCATCTAAGGATCTGTTCATAGAAAATATGATTCTTGCTTAGTATTTTATTTTTCTGCTATGGCTTTATTTGTCATGAGCATTTTGTTGTATGTGTCTTAGTG